GCGGTGCTAGGGGAAAGGAAGGGGGCATCTAGAAGAGGACAGGTGGGGCTCAGTGAACAAGAGAAGAGGTTGAGGGAGAAGCAAGTAGCGGGGCAGGAAGAGCACATGGAGGGGAAATCTGGGATTCATCTTCATTCGATTGATCTGATTTTGCTATAGTCATCTGCGTTATTTACAGATTTTCTTTTATCCTTATTTTTTTTCTACCGTTTATTTGCGAACTTTATACATTTGATTTTGTCCCTCTGTAACGCGCAGATTTAGGGCCATGCATATCTGATGGGATTAGACATAAATCTCCCGCCGCGTTTCGCTTTCATTCTCGGCCATGGATATATTTATTTTGCTACTAATATTTATTTATTAATATTTCCGGTATTGTTCCCATTGCATTTATCTTGACCCTTTATTCATTAATATATATTTTTGAATTTCAAAATCGTACACCACAATTGGCGATCGTTTTCTCTAGCGCAGATCTCGGTGCCTTGGAGGCCTGATGGGACGCGAGTAAGAAAAATCTGCGGACGCCACCCACCGCATTTCACTACCGGTCTCGACCTTGGCCAGGACGCTGAGCCACACGACACATCTGGCACAACTGGAATCGACACAAAAGTACCAGATAATGACATCAGAATCGCAAAGTCCGCGAGCATCTATTTCGTTCTCTTCTGACGCGAATTTATGCGTTCGATTGTATTCGTTGGGTTTTTGTAATTTGTGTCGACATGAAGTTTCGTGGTCTTTGTAGTCGCTGTATGGATCGCCATATCTTGTATTCTTTAAAGAAAAAAAAATGCTATGACTACATGTTCATCGGTTCACATATTACCTTGGAATAGTTTGCTGAATAAAATTTCTTGATTTTATTTTCTTTTTTTATGCATGAAGTCTGACTGCTCGAGCCATTAAAAAGTTTGAGATTGCTCTTTGTAGGTCAAGGCGAAAGGAAGCTCCGTTAAATTGAGCGAACGAGAGGGAGAGATTTTTATCCGACCTTTCAGATACGATGGAGATGTTCGTCCACCATAGATAAGATAAAAAACATAATTCTGAACTGCCTTGACGTTATGAGCTTTCCAATTAGGAGGAGTTTCGTTGTTTCGGGTGGCAGGGAGGGGTATGGAGGAGGAGGGGGGGAGGGGGGAGGGTTATGGAGAGAGGAGTGGGGTGGTAGGAGGGGTACGGAGAGGAAGAGGAGGGGGTTGGGAGGGGTACGGAGAGGGAGAGGAGTGAGGGAGGCAGGGAGGGTGTGAAGAGGGTAGGGGAGAGAGGGGTGGAAGGTAGGGAGGGTTACGGAGAGGGAGAG